CACCTGCAAGTTATACTTACTGCTCTAAAGCCTTCCTGCTTGACAATGGGAAGCAGTCCAATGTGCCATTAGAAAATCCCCCTCTCAGATGAAGAAAGTGGTAAGGTGGAAATAAATGTGCATTTATATTTTTCCATCCAGATACCCAGAACAACTGGCTAGTACCAATTAATATTCCTATTTAAAAACATGCTTTTGTTGTAGAATAATTGCTCTCTGTTGAATTGTCCCACAAGAAAAGCAAGTGATGTTTACAAATGCTTCTGTCATTATCGAGTGACTGAGAGTCTCATTACATGGGATGTAAATACACAATAAAGTCAAAGCCACTTTGACACTGAGACAGCTCATTTATGAGCAATGGCCATGAGTGTCCAGTGAGTACCCTATGCATTGGATATCCACTGAGATCCTATGCATTGGTGATATATAGTCACCTTCATGTCCTATTCCAAATATTTTTGTTCTGCGAGCTGTCACAACAAAGGGCATGATTGTACCTTCAGCATGCCTCTAGCACTGATTATCTGGCATTGTGAGCGCACAGACATTACAGCAGAAACACATTAACATAAAATCCATGTGAATCCACTTTCTTCCTTTCCTTGTTTTACTCTATATCTCAAGCCTGAGGTCTCCACTTCTCATCTCTATTTACAGGCAAGTAGGTTTTTGAATATGTACTTATCTCTATGATGCTACACTGAGCTTCTTGTTTAAGATCTGAGTGCCTCCAGTTCTCTCCACACTAGAGATGTGCAAAGGGGAGAGACTGACTTCACTTGTGTTGCAGTGAGCATGAAAGTGGATGCATCAATAAGAGTATCTCTACAAAGACCTTCCTTGGACAGAGTAGGGAACTGGTAGCAGAAAATTCTTACTTGCTACACTAGTAGAGAGGTGGACTCAGACTCTTCTACCTGTTTAAGGATATAGTCAATCCAAAGCTTTAAAGAGAAAATAAAGCCTCAAATTTTGCCTGAAGGGAAGCATGGTCTGATGTTGAGAATTGTTCATTTCATGATAGATGATGCTACTCGTTCATCTTCAAGGCAGCCCTATGTAGGGATGAGATACCTCTCTTTGCATTTACTTTTCTCCCATCGTGACTGCAAATTGAACCATTCATGTTTTTTGATTTTAGGGATAAACAATCAGACAACTTTTTAAGAATGAAAAACACAAAACACATACTTCGTTTGTTTTTGTAATAATCAGTTGTTTCTATAGCTCATCCCTGATCGCAGCATGAATTCAATTTCAGGAGTCACATAAATCTTGGTAACATTCTGCAAACTCTCTTTCAACTTACACTGAAATTGTATTTTGACACAAGTTCAGGAAAATGAATGCTGCCCCACATACAATAAATTTCAGACCAGGAAATACTCTCTTCAAAATAGTGCTCAAGTATAATAAAACATATTTAACATGTAAAGCCAATGGAAATTTAAAGTGAATATGTGTTTAAGTGGTTTCTAATTTCAAATTATTTGTGAAGAATCATCCCATAAACCTCAAGTTGGAATCTCTCTGGATTGCCAGAAAGTCAGTGAAACAAAACACTGGTGGCTATGGCCCTGTGTAGAGCATCTTTTACCTCCTTGTTCCTCCAGATGTAGATGAAAGGGTTCAGCATAGGGATCACCACAGTGTAGAACAACGATGCAATTTTGTCCTTGTCCAGAGAGAAGTTGTTGACTGGTCGGAAATACATAAAGACGATTGTTCCGTGGAACAAAGAGACAGCCATCAGGTGAGAGGTACAGGTGGAAAAGGCCTTGTACTTGCTCTTCCTGGAGCGGATCCTCACCACAGTCAGAATAATGAAAATATATGAGATGAGGATGCAAATGATGCTGCTCATCACAAACAAGCTGCCAAAAATGAAAACCAGCAGCTCACTGAGAGTGGTACTGGAAGAAGAAATCTGGAAGAGAGGGCTGTTATCACAAAAGAAATGGTTTACCATATTTGAAGAGCAAAAGGATAGTTTTAGCAAGCCACTGGTGTGCACCAGAGAGTTCAGGAGGGCCAAGAAGTACAAACCTTTCACCAGCCTCCAGCAGACCGCCTTGGTCATGATGACAGTATAAAGCAGAGGTTTACAGATGGCCACATACCGGTCATATGCCATCACAGCTAGCAGCAGGCACTCTGAGATTGTCAACAAAACAAAGCTAAAATACTGCAGAATGCAACCTCTGTATGAAATTGCTTTTGTCTCTTCTAAAAATGTAGCCAACATTTTGGGAGTAATGACTGTAGAATAAACAGCATCTGTGAAAGACAGATTTTGAAGGAAAAAATACATTGGTGTTTGAAGCTGGAGATCTATGTTGATTAATGTAATGAGACCCAGATTTGTTAGTAAAGTGGTGGTGTAGATGGCTAAAAACACCATGAAGAGAGGCATCTGCAGCCTTGGATTGTCTGTCAATCCAGACAGAATGAACGTGGTTGGTGATGTGGAGTTTCCTGAAGCCATTGGGTTTCACTGGTGTGCTGTCTGCCATCCAGAAAAATAAGAATGATGATGAAAGGTTTGTTAGAGCTTAAAAAATTAATGGGCTAAGGAAACATGCAGTGCTCATACTGATTGTCAACAAGCACATAGTGACTTGAGAAAAACAGTTCCCAAAGTTCCCAAAACACATTTCACTATGAGAAATATCACTACCTAGATAATGAAATCTAATTAACCCATTCATTTATTCCATCCAAACAAGCTATCTAAAATCTTGGTGCCTAGTAGGAGACAGTTGCATAGACTCCCTTTCTCTGCAGTGAGCAGTGACATTGAATGAACTGTGTTCTTGGGTGAAGACGTGTTTTTATTGACAACAGAAGAACCTACACCAGATATAATTTTAGTTGCTATCAAATCAATATAAAGCTCACTCTGTGAATGGCAACCAAGTTTTATTTGTATACAAATGTTTCCAGGCTTCTTAAATTTAGCATAGAGAAGTAAAAGGCACCGGTAGGGTGGCATGCATCATATCTATTCCATGCTTGCTCCTAAGACACATATCTGAGGGTGAGAATCTAAGGGCATTAAGCCTAAAATAGTTACCTACAGAGCTCCAACATAAGATATGTGATCTCAACCCTAAATCTTAGTGCAAACATGCTTTTCAGTATTCAGTACCTGTGCTTATCCTGCGCTTGTTCCTTGCAATCCAAGCTGGAAACCAAACAATCAAAAAAAAAAAAAAAAAAAAAAAAAAAGCCCAGCAGAGGTCCACACTTACGGACAAAAATCTTTCTAAAAAAATTAAGATGAGACAAACCTCTTTATTTTCTTTTATGCTGTCTTAGCCCACATAATACAGACATACTGTTGTAACTAAGATTTGATTCAGGCATAGTTACAGTAGTTCTGCAGAATCAAACAACATGCAACTTTCAGCAGCAAATACTTACTTTCCAAGGCAAACTTCAATAAGGACTGATTTTTACATGAAGTAACAAGAATCATGCAGCTCATCTATGCCTTGCCAATTTCCTCTGATTTTTAATTTTTATTCCAAAGAGGCAGGCACTTTGCTGCAGCGCTGTGTTCATACACTCAGAAAAAGTCTTAAGCAATTGTATATTGGACAGCCAGGCCACAGTAGCATGGCAATTATACTGCACTTTATGTCCCCTGAGAGATGGAAGCTAATTACATCACAATGCCATCCTGAGAAGATTTGTAGTATTTCTGATTCTTAAAGGTGATGTTTGTAAAGACATTAAGTTGACCTAATTCATGCCATAAGTGATTGGTACATGTGGAAACCATGTATGATCAAATGAAGATAATCTTTTACTGTTCATTAGTCTTAGTAATGGGAACCAATCTAGATAACATCAATTTTTGTAAGAACACAGCAAAATGGCAGCAGTCCAATCATCCAAATCTCTCTTTGGTTTCTGTCTTGATTTGGTCTTTGCAACAGCTCCTCAGATGAGATCAAATTTCTCTTTGATGAGATCACAGAATCATAGAACCACAGAAAGTTTGCGTTGGAAGGGACCTTAAAGTCCATCTAGTCCCAGCCCCTGCTGTGGACTTATTGCCCCCCACCATATCAAGCTGCCCATGGCCCCATCCAGTCTAGACTTGGGTTGGGGATTCACAACCAGGAATCCAGGGATGGGGGAATCCACAACCTCTCCATGCAGAATGTGCCAGGACCTCACCACCCTCTAAAAATTTTCCCCTAACATCTAACCTGCCTGTTGCTGGATATTGCTGTGCTGTGCCATGAACATATTGCGACTTTTGACTTTATCACAGTGCAATCTGGGGAACATCACTGAAGATACTGAGCAAATATAGATAGCTGGTGACATTCCAACAACATAGCTCCATGAACAAGTTAAGGGCGTTCTATTTAACAACACAAATATACAACCTACCATTGAACACCAGGCAGTGCCATTGTGATAAGACAGGTCCAAGTCCAAGACCAGAAGTCAGCTCACAGGTAAGGGCTAGGATCAAGTCTGGTGATCGCCAGGTACATTCAGAGGGTCAAGGCACGGCTGGAGTCAAATGAGAAATTCAGCCCATGGGCTGAGATCTGGATCAAGATGTTCTGTGGGCTAAGCAAAAACTAGGGCTCCTCTAACATACATCAAAAGGTGAATAAAAGCAACACCCCAGACTTGGGCTTAAATAAAAGCTCCTGAATGTGGGGGTGGGGGTTTCAGGTGAGCCTGATCAGGGCAATTAATGCTTAGTAAAGCACTGTGAGTCCTGACACAGACACTTACAGTGTGGCTTTGAACCTTGATAAAATCCTACAAGTGTCTGCTGATTATCATAAGGAACTTATAATCAAAGATATTGAAGAATCATTAAAAAATTGAACATTTTTATTGTGCATTAGAGCTAAAGACATTTTGAAAATGTTTTAGTACGTTCTCAGTCACAAGCAACAAAAGAAGTTTTACTTTCCAGATGCTGGAAAAAAAGTTATTCACTCCATCAGAGAAGGAAAACCATCATCTGAAAGTTTTCAATTACTTTATTCAGTTTAAACATCTGCAGTCAAAAGTAGACATAACTCACTTTCCAGAAAAGACGGATCACAGTCATGCCTCTGAATAGGTGTTACAAAATACCTCTACAAAAAGTACAGGTGAGCTGCTTAATCCAGAATACAATTGCTCTATTTTTAACAACCAACTGTAAGTTCTTAAATGCATGACAGAGGATTCATCTATGAAATATGGAGGTTGAAGGTAACCTCGCTAAATGTAAGAAATGTAAAACTGTAGATGCCCATATCTTGGAGTGATTCCCTTTGGTGAAAGAGCAGACAGATAGGTTCTTGAAATAAAAATTAGCCTTATTTTAGGTTTCTGCCTTAGGAAAATACTCACTACATAACCCCTTTTTTATTTCCAGCAACAACAAAATACAACTGTGGAAACCAGTTAAGATGGAGATGATAGGAAAAACAGGAACAGGAGTTAGACAGATTTAATGACTGCGCAGCGATGAGCCAGAGCTACCCTATCAGCACTTACATGTAGTTTTTCCTGCTAAGTAAATGACTGAGAAAACACTTTTCTCTCTAGTGACCTTCTTAAGGCTTCCCTCACCTCCTTGTTCCTCAAGCTGTAAATCACGGGGTTCAGCATGGGAAGGATGACAGTGTAAAACAAAGCAATCAGCTTGTCGGTGTCCAATGAGTAGCTGGAGCTGGGCCGTAAGTACATGAAGAGGAGGGAGCCATAGAAGAATCCAACAGCCATGAGGTGAGAGATGCAGGTGGAGACGGCCTTGTGCCTGCCCTCTGCTGTATGGAGCTGGAGGATGGTGCCAAGGATACAGGCGTAGGAGATGACGATGACCAGGAAGGAGCTGGTTTGTATGAAACCGCACAAGGTGATGAGAAGCACTTCGTTGACCGTGGTGCTTGAGCAGGAGAGCTCCAGCAGTGGGGGAATGTCGCAGAAGAAGTGGTTGATGGTGTTGGAGCCACAGAAGGACAGGGTGAACGTGAAAGACGTGTGCACCAGCGAGGTCAGGCCCCCGCTGAGATAAGCCCCAGCTACCATGGAGGCGCAGGCCCAGCGTGACATGGCAACGGAGTAGAGAAAAGGCTGACAGATGGCCACGTAGCGGTCATAGGCCATCACAGCCAAAAGGAAGCACTCAGCATCAGCCAGAGCAGCAAAGAGAAACATCTGCGTAGCACAACCAAAGAAGGAAATGTTGGTGCGCTGCGCTACGAGATTCACCAGCAGCTTGGGAGCAATGGTGGAGGCATAGCTGAGGTCTAAGAAAGATAAATTGCTCAGGAAATAGTACATGGGGGTGTGAAGACAGGCATTGAGCCGAACGAGTATGATGATGCCAGCGTTGCCCCCCAGCGTGGTGACATAGATGAGCAGGAAGAGCCCAAACAAAGGTAACTTCACCTCCCAACGGTGAGTGAAACCCAAGAGAACGAACTCAGTCACAGCAGTGTGGTTTTCTTCAAGCATTTCCTGCCTTCATCTTGCCCCCCCAGCTCAGCACTGTCTATCAGTTCGTTGCTCAAGAGACATTGTGGTAGCACAATTATTTTACACACAATATCAAAAGGAGCAAGCAGTGACATAGTGCATAGTTAGACGTAACAGTTGATAAGGACATGGAACAGGAATTTCTGCAACGCTAATTCCATGAGAAGTTCTCCATTCGAGAGAAGCCGAGAATGAACCTATGTAAAATTGGTTCTTTTAAACATTTTAAAATATTTGAAGCAAAGGTCAATTAGAGTTTTATGTGTTGCATAGCTGAGAGAAAACATCATTTCATGCAAAATAAGCAGGAGATACACACCTTAGTGAAGCATGGGGATCGGACAGGGGATTCTGTTTTGACATTCTATTGCACGTTACTCCACATCTTTTCCTTCCTTATAAATGCTTTACATGACGTGAGAGATGGGGGAAGACTCTTCTGTCAGTCAGCTCACTTTTAGAATTGAAATTAAATGATGAAACTGTAGATTGAATATTTTCCACAGTGAAACTTTTTAGAATTAATGACCATGTAATTGTTTTTTGTTCAAGATATACACTTTTAATTTAAATTGCTTTCAAATGTGTGCCGCAGAACACATTCCTCCAAATGCATTTAACTTAAACTTCCAAAAGCAACTTTTACTCCTTTCAACATGAACTTGAGAAAGGATAAATTTTCGTTCATATTTCTACTTACAATAGGAGATCCACAAAGAGACATGCAGGCAGAACTCACCAAAATGACGGCAGATTCCAATGCTGTGTAGACCAAAAACACAGTGAAACTGAAATGTCAACATTTGGTCCAAATAACCCCAAAGAAAACAAGTCAGCAAGAAAACACTAGGAGCCCTTCAGGATGAGTAACCAAATGCAATTCAAAAATAAATTTTTTATATAGATACAGAAAATAAATGAGGCAACAAATTAGGCTGAATTTGGACATACACAAAAACACAGCTTCCTTTCCCCGTTGCTTAACCAGACCTTGCAGCTGGAAGAATTTGCAGCCCTGTTTAGTAGCCTAAGTGCCAATCTGAGTCCTCTCAAGTCCATTTTTAAGGTGGACATCATTTACAATCGTTTCTCTTTTTTTAGTGCAACAAATATAGACTGGGTGAGCAGCACACATCCATTACCACACTTTTGGAGAAGCAAATCTGAGTAAGCTGAATCACCTCTTCAAAGACCCTTCTGCTGTAGGTGGGAAGAGGACATGTTGAAGGGTCACTTCTGAAACAGGAGACATCTCCTCTAGGATCTGATGTATCTTCTGCACTTGCCTCTTCTCTCCCTTTCTAAGGACCTAGAGTGCCTAAGCCCATGGTTTACATCCCTGATGAAAAGTGACTGTGGATTTTTAGGTGAAGCTTGCTAAACTCACTGACACAGACACTTTCAAGCTCTCACTGACCCTACATGATTCTGCAGAATTCCAGTGGAATCACTGCAGCCAACAGGTAAAGCAAAAGCTCAGCAGTTTCTTGGAAGGAGCAGCAAGTCTTGCCCAAATTTAACCTCCACACACTGTGGCAATGAAGAAATGCCAGCATAAATGCTAGAGGCAGAAGCTATTTCCCCAAGCAGGAATCTAGGTAGGCAGCATCCTTGCTCTTACCAAGCACAGGCTATAACCCCTTAAACAAGCCAGGCAGCCTTCACCTGGAACTGAAAAAGAGTTTGTTGCCACTACTATTAGATAGATGTTATGAAACCAGTGGGGTCAGGGAACCACATTGTCTGTTGGAGAGGTTCTCTTAATCCCAGCTACACTGCATCAGTGAGAAGCTTTTATTTGCCATTCACAACAAGTCAAATCTTTTAAGACAGATGCACTTCAGAAACAAATGTTCTCATAGATACAGAAAACAAATGAGTTGCTAAATTACTTTCCTTGCTGCCTCTCCCTTTCTCATCTTTCACCTGTGCCTCAACAGACTGGAAGTCAAGCATAACTTACTTTGTTTTTTGCTATCCTTCGGAGATGGCATGTCACTTCAACAGAAATGATGGAAAGGTCATCTACTCTCCCTGCAAAACTGGACTGGAACTGGACTGGAAGGAACCTCAGTGATAATAAGACCTGGCAAGAGGTCACATTATTGCAGCAGCTAAATCAACCAGCCACCAGTGAGTGAAGCACCATTACAGTTAAATGCTGATATTTCCTCTGTTGTCCCTTCTTGCCAAAGTCAGACCTACCTGGGGAGGGTGTGAGGACCATCTCGCAGCCAGCTGGGCTTGTAGCCATGGCAAGGTTTTAATGCAGCACCGATGCGACACCAGGGACGTGGTCCCTGCTGCCTCTTCTGCTGGATTACCTCATGGACAAAGGACAGCTGTGCTCTCTGCAGCTGCTGGAAATAGAACTTCAAAGGGTATGGGTTTGCTTTTAGCAGCAAATTTCATAGCCTTTTCCTTTATGAGCTGCAGAGTATCCACATTAATGTTGTTCTCCATGAGCTTTTAGGTTGGAAAGGGGGTTGCAATTTTAAAAATGAAAAAACAAACAACCACAACTTACGACACAACTGAAAACATCACCTTTTCCCACAAATCACTTAATGCAGCCCATGGAAATACCCAAATCTAAGTCATTTGAGCCCTGCTTTGTAACGATCAAAAAATCCTCCTCTTACAACAGGAGAGAACTGAACAAAGACAGAAACGGGACTGCAAACTGTGAGATAATAGACACAAAGGGAGAAGGGTAACACATGAACGTGGACATGTTTAGGAAAGAGCATGTGCATGTGAAATATTGGGTCTTGATGAAAAAAAAACAGCAGACTGAAGCAGGGTTGTTACTCACCATCTCAGAAGTGGAGGGCAGAGAGATTATCTGCAGCAGAACAGGAAATCATTCTGTGAATGTTACATGTTGCGTTTTTCCTATCATAAAGAGAGAAATAACTGATAAATGGTACATACCAGTGGAGTTGTAACCTTCCTTCCTCTGCAAGGGAGCAAGTCACTGATGGAGCTTTATTGCAGAAAATCTGTGAAAGCTACGTGAGCATGAGGGGAAGCAAAAAATGCCTTTGTTTCTGATGAAAGCACAAGAAGCAACTGAAGCCATGTTTTTGTAGGCTGTTCTTCCCGTGATTAGTTTGTTGGTTACAATTTTCAGCGAGGCCAAATCTTAAAATAGTAATAATATCCCTAAACATTCTTCTGTGGGACTCCACAAAGAACCTTAATCAGAGCTGAAAAAGATATTAAAAAATTACATCCACAAAAATTTCCAAAGACTCTGCTCTGCTCATCTATACTCATTTTCCATCTTTCTTGAGCTGTGGCCACAGGTCTGAATGCAGTGTTCCAGATGGGGCTTCACAAGAGCGAAGTAGAGGGAGACAATCATCTCCTTCTCCCTGCTTTCATCAGAGCTGAAAAAGATGAATAAGGTGAAATACCTGAAGGCAATTGTCCCTGCCTGTTTATGCTCACCCCAGGCTCCTCCATGTGCAATTTGAGGAACCTGTGTAGAGCTTTCTATAACCTTCAGAGTCTTGTGTACTGCAGTGTTTGGCATTATATATCTGAGATTTTGCTGCTAGTGGTGTTTCAGCCCAAACTACTGAATAAGCTGAGTATGGCTCAAAAAGCATGGCAAATTGTCTTCCTATATTTGGGCTGGTCTTGCCCATTGCCCACTGCCGTGTTGAAAGGGAATCTCAGGATGGTTTAGAGTCTTACAGTCATTTTGAAGAAACTCTCTAAATCTACTGGAGACTAAAATCTTAGATTTGATCATAGGAAATGATTAAATCTCCTGGAGACAAGGAAAGTCTTAATGTTGACTTGAGGACTTTGTCTTCAAGTCAGCTTTAGATAAGACTTAAAGTGTGCTAGCCACTAAATCTTAAAGTTGACTTCAGGAAAATCTTAAAGTAGAGTTTTGGAAACTGCTGAATTTTGCTAGAGGCTCTAAAGGTAGTCTTCAAGTTATCTTTAAGTATATTATACAATTATGTAATTTTATACATATTTGTAAGTACACACACAAAATTTTCAAGGCAATTTCTGCCTTTCCAAGAAGAGTCTGTTGTGGGAATACAAGAAAAACTGTTCAGAGCAGAAGCTGTGGAGCAAGATAAACAGCATGAGAACCAAGGACACTTCTAGAAGAAGAAGGAACGTCTCACGGCTCTGATTGGACAAGTGCCTGTGTGAACGGTTGAAGAGTGTTTTGTAGAACACTCTGTTGCCATGTAAAGGTGGATGGGAAAGTTGTAGGGGTGGATGGGAAAGCTAGAAAAAGAAAACTTGTGAAGGTATAGAAGTGATGTGAGAACTTGTAATAGACGATTTGGATCATTCACATCTGAGTCCGTGCATCAGATGCTACAGTTTGTGGCCTGATGCACTTCCTCAGTTATCCACATTCCTCATCCCTGCTGCTGGGAGTTTCTGCACTAGGAGGTGTACCAGGACTGGATCCATTCTTTCATTCCTTTGGGAACACAATGGCACATGCCTCATGTGCAAATAAAGCAAGCCCTGGGGCAGCACCATCCAAATGGACAAATACCAACAATAATAATAAACAAATAAAAATAAAAAGCATGGAGATGGACTTTGAAATAGCCAGTGCCACTGATTTCAGGACAGGTCTGTACCTTTTGGGCACTTTGGCAATCCCCATGCAGATATACAGCCCATTACACCACTCCAGCAGACCTGTAATTCACCATTGCACCATGAATGTTATAACTCAGAACTGGAACCCAAATGTGCACCACTGACAAAGGCTTTCAACAGTACATCTGAACCACTTAAATATAGGGAAAGGAAAGGGAATGGGAAAGTGAAAGGGAAAGTCATTTCTTTCACCCCCCTCCTCCTCCTCCTCCCCCCTCCCCCCCCCCCCAAAAAAAAAAAAAAATCAAAAAAAATCACATGCTTAATATAATGGAGAAAAAAAAAAAAAGATGCTAGGTTCTCAACCATTTTTGCCACCCACAGCAAATAAGGCAGCTTTCATTACTTATGTCCTGGAATTGTTTTTGGCAAGTGGAAACATTTGTGCCTCTTAACACAGGTACAAAGAAGTAGACATGAAATGGAGAACGCATCACCCAATGCCCAGAGACTAAGACCAAGGTGGGCCAGTACTTTAAGTCAAGGATACATCAGTAAACATTCCATAAACATAACGATGACTCCATATACAGTATTTAATATCCAATTGCTCGTAAAGTAGAAAATGCATTAGCAATATGATCTTAGCTGGCAATGACATGACAGCACCCTTTGTAACGTGGAAACAGCCCATTCACAAAATACCCCAGCACATCAGCATCACAGAGCAGGAAACTCAAATTATGCAAAATTCTCTCTAGAAACATGGCCTACCCTATTAACAGTCAGAAACAAATTGGCTACTGACTTTGTTACATCACATGGTGGTGTTCTATTTTTCAAACATGCATCATGTGTGAGCTTTTTATTTATTGTTATTATTTTAATCTTCAGCCAGCCTCTTGCCTGGATTCAAGTTAGTGATTTTTCAGAGGCCAAGCATAGCAAAAACTGATAGAGTTTTCAGTTTGAGTTTGAGGAAAGTCTGGAGAAAGATGCCAGCACCATTGGGATTTGCAGTGATTTAATCTGTGCACAGAAACCTGTGCTCCACATTTTCTATCCATCTGAAGCCAGTAAGATTTAGGGCTTTATCCTAAACAAAGATTCAGCACACTGGGTTTTGCTTCAAACCAAGTGAGTGAACCAAAACAGTTTCCCACAGACTGTGATGTGTTAACTCAGATGCAAGCCTCCAAAACCTTCTCTCTGTTCATCCATGTGCTACTCTGTATCTTGGGTTATCTGAAGAGCTAGCATAATCCACTTCAGTGCTTATTCAACGTTCCTAACATCTACTTTGCCCATGAAGATCACAGAATATCCCAGGTTGGAAGGGATCTATAAGGAACTCCTGGCTCCACACAGCACCATCCAAAAATTTTCTACTGGACAGGCTGGATCCAATGGTTCCCACTCGTACCTCAAGAAATAATTGAGAAAAAGCATAAAATTCGACAACTAGTGGAGTAGTGGATCAGGCACGCTGGAGTTTGCCTTATAGGTAATGCATGGAATGCTGGGTCCTGGATTCTTTATCCCGAAGTGAGCAGCCATCCTGTCCATCCACATCAGGCTCTATTAGACATTCTACTTTGCTTGACTGAGTTGCTCTTCAAAAGAAACTCACTGAAATTCACATCGTTTTCCAGTTATCATCCAAGTCACTCACTCACCACCAAAAGCTCTTTTGGAGGCCCATTTGCAGCATCAGATGAGAGAAAAAGGTAGCATTTAGCATGTGATGTCCATGCACATCAATAGTACTGTCGTTTCCTTTGTGTAAACTTGTCTTTAAATGCATAAATCCCATACCAGTAGGTGATGTTCATTTCTATCAGATTCTGGAAAATCCACTATTGTGAGGGCTGGATGAGCCTGTCCAATTGCATACACACAAATATCTGGGAAAACCCCAGAAAGGTTTAAGTGGATGTGGTGCGGATGTATATTTGTGCCCAAGCTGTATTGGTGTTGTTTAAGAATAGCAGCAAATAATAAATGATTCCAAGAATTTTTGCTGAAATAATAAAAAAAGTAGTCTTGGAAAAGTGCAAATAGGCTGAAACATTTTTAAGGAAGAGCAGACCACATTTGGCCAGTGCTGAAGGTGGTCAGCTTCTTTAAACCCGAGACAATCTGAATTTAGGAGGTCTTTACAAAAACTGGCACCTCTTCAAGGCCGACAGAGTAGTTCCTGAGGACAGTGCCTCCATCAAACACACGAGCACTGTTGGTGTCCCGCCACCGGCACCCTTCTCCAGGCAGGTAGATATCTCGCCATGTTTGCCCTTTTTCTGTTATTGGAGCCACCAGGACCTGCAGTGAAACAGGGAAAGAAAAAGTAATTTAGCAGGGTCAGTTGAGGCAGTGGCAGAGAAAATCAGCAACTTTGGCTGCAAATGAGAGTATCCACGTGCGCAAGCAGCAGAGGTCATTGTTCCCATGGGCAAGGTTTACTAAACAAGAGTGGGAAGGGGTGATGTAATGTCCCTTATTTGACCAAGCTGTGAGAGTCTGTCCAATTTGTATTTTGGAAGAAAAAACAACATCAACAAGTTGTGTAGTCTCCATCCAATGCATATTTTGGAAGAAAAAGACTCCAGAATCCACCCAAGCCATATTTTAGAACACCTGAACTGAATTAACATCAGAAATCTGAAGATTTCAGAAAACAAAGCTTTGGCCTAGAAGTTGAGCAGGCCAGGATGGATGTAGGAAGGCTCAGGCTTATTCAAAGCAGCTTTTGAGGAGATTTTATAGAGTTGTGAGGAATTTGGTGGCATACAACCCTTTAAGCTGTGGAGGGAATTATTGGCAGTCATGGGAATTTCTCTTTTCTCCCCTGACCAAGTGCTTGGGGGGATCCAGTTGAAGACACTTGAATATGACCTAATCAAGAATCAAAGACAATCTGACACCAAGCCATGCAGAAACTTGGATTTTAATTAGAAAGAAACATTTTGTGGGATCTTTAGTTCCAGGTTGCTCAGAAGGTGGGATTCCAAAGCCATCCTCTCTGGGAGACTTAGTCTAGATCTAAAGCCTAGGAAGAGCTTTGCTCAGTATAAACAACATAACAGATTATATCTCAAGCAACATGGAAAGGAAACTATGAAAGGAACCATGAAAAAAACAAACTCCAGGAAAGCCAATAAATGAAGAAAAATTTATCAGAAGGCAGAAATAATGTGTGAGATCATTCAAGTCCCAGTACTCTATTTCTTGTACTCTTGGTCAATCCCTTCACTAAATGTGGATGATCCTTGGGCAGCAATGTCCTGAGATGACATCATGGTGTTTGGCTCTCTTTAGGGAACACTCTGGACCCTCTTGGCTTTTATAAATGTATTTGTCAGCACAACCCAACCTCTTACAGCTTCCACTTTCACTCAGACAGCACTGATGTGAAGTGATGCTGTTGGTTTTTTTTGTTTGTTTGTTTGCTTGTTTTTTGTTTGTTTAATAGTGCCACTTGTTTCTTTGCTGTTATGTATCAACACTCTTTCCTGGAAGGATTCAATAAGTTGGAAGTGTGCTGCCAAGACATGCAGATTACATGGGTCTGGAAGTAATGAATGTAAAAATCAGCCTAACAAAAAAAAAAAAAAAAAGGGTTTCAAACCAAGGTGATCCTCCCAGGCCAGAGTTACTGCAAAAAAAAAGTCTGGGTGACAGGAGCAGGAAAACATTGGTGATAGCACAAAACCATCTTTATGAGCACCTTGCAGATATGCTCGCATGCAACATGATGCTCAGAAAGTTTATCACAGCATCCTAACACTTAGCCTCACCTCAAAATACACCAGGACAGAATTACCTTATGTATTTTCCAGTAAATTATTATTAATCATACTCCAAATGGCACTAAATCAGGTTTTGGATTGCATCTGGATTCTTCCAGCTGCCAAAAGCCAGCCTGGAAGTCAAAACATCCCCATCTGGGCTCTCCTTCCTGCCAGCTCGGTCTCTTTTGAAGCAAAATCATGTGAGGTTTTGCTGGCCTCATGTGGTACTTTATCAGAAATGCTTGGCCCTGCCACACTGATGGAGCAACCCTGATGTTTTACCGTATTTTGGGAGCTCTCAGCCAAGCCATATCTTTGCAGCTCCTGAGAGAGAAGGCTGCTTGCTGTGTTTTACCGGGAATCTCACTCTGCTAACACACAGCACATTTCTGCCCTGCCATTTCCATTGCATCAGGGATTCTTCCATTTGAGTAATTTGGGGAGAAGAAGCTAAGTTTTAACTTGCTTGCAGTTATAACCAATACCATCACCACTGCCTGAATATGCACTCTGTAGTACATCAGCACCAAGGAAATGTCTCTTCTCTCAAACAGTGCCATTCCAATTCACTTATGCTAAAGATCTGTACTTTTACAACATCCCACCTGATTACACAAGCTTGTAAAGTAGGAGAATATTTTATCAGTTTTCTGCAGTGATGTAAATTTTCCTTGAAAACAACCCTCCCCCCAAAAAGCTATAAATCAAATCTACAGAATTTGCAATAAGAAAGTCAAGCCTCCAGATTTTAATATTGCAATATTGATCAGAGGCCGCAAGCAGAACCTGAGAAGATAGATAACTCTGCAACGGAAATTGCTTTGCTGTTAAAACAAGCAACAAGTCCCTAATGAACTT